TACTTATGCGAGCCTTTGCCGGACTAGGAAAATTCATTGCAATTGTCATCGAGATTATTAAACAAATAAGCTTATTAGTTGTCACGTTGGCAGCCATTGTCATGGTAGGCGTTATTAACTGCTTAGTTTATCGACATATGTATAATTATCACGATACACACAACATTTTTGACCCACAAATCTTTAAATACTTGTTAGATCTTTGCAAATTCCCTATTTGTGCTCCTGAGAGATACCGATCCCCAAGATTTGGTTTCACAATACTCAGGAAGTGTCACTAATTCTACAAATGGTGAAGCTATAGGATCCATTACCTTGACAGAAACACCGTCTGATTCTACTAACATTTGGGTTAGACTTGATTGGTCTATGTTGGCCACATATTCTTTCTTGGGAATTGGTTGGGACGGAGTTTCGGCTTTTGAGCCAACTCTACCACTATCGATTATGAAGATTATGTTTAGTTTTCTAGCAGTAATATTGCTCCTTAATGTACTTATTGGTAAGTACCGCCTGTTATCATTGACAAGATCATTATGTAAATAATCACTAAAATTCCATTTTTCTTTCCAATTGATTTTTAAAATCCAAAGGTTTGATAACCTATGTCTTTAGTGATGGTTTGCAAGTTGCTAGACAAGCGTTCTTACGTCAACGCGCTGAACTCATAGCGGAGATTGAATTGTTTATATTAACGCCAGCACAACGTCAAGAAATCGATTGGTTTCCGCATTTAATATATTATGAGACGCACGCCGATTACGTAAATAATTGGAGACAAAAATTAGATCAAGAGGAGCGAGGCACGGTCGATGTAGATTTTGTACGAAAGGAGTTACAATTTGTTAAGGAAGAATTGCAAAGAGACTTAAAAGAATTAAAAAATTTAGGAAGTTAAAAAAAATTATTATAGTATTAATTTAATAATTGCTTGATTTTTTGTGTATTTTTTATTTGCCATAACTAGTTGCCTTGTCTACACTTTAGTGAAGAATTTTTGCATCCACCTATCTTAATATAGAATCTTTTGCTAGTGCATTAGATAGATGCATACAAGATTCGGCTAGATATTTTAGCAAAATAGTTATGAATAAATAATATAAACAAAAAAAAAGAAACGTTTAAATATATTAAAAGTTAAGGCAAGTAAAATATAATATTAAAAATTCTTTTATTAAATTTTAAATATACTGTATATGGTTAATAAAAACACATACCATTTTTATTGATCTTCAAATGCAAAGATGATTGGTACACGGGGAAATATACAGCTAGGTCTTATCAGTGTGCCTCTTAAGTGCGTAATACCTCTAGATAAAATTTTGGATATTCTTTTTGACAAATTATAACAATTATTTAATTAATGAAATACAATATTGTATATGCTATTGTAAAATATAAATTTACTGGCAAAGTGTTTATTTTCCAAAGGTTCGGTTAAAAAAATGTATTATAATTAAATAAATTTTTATTGATAATAATAATAATAATATCAAATTAAATAAATAGATATAATGAAATTAAATGAATAAGAAACACAGATTTTAACAAATAATAACATCAAACAAATATGCAAATGCTATTTACAGGTCTAGATATAATATGTAACAAAATTTTTTGGAATTTTTTATTTGTTTATTACTCAAAAACTATTGCATAGAAATTAATAAAAAAAATATATTAAAATGAAGTTAAAAACCTAGAGATTTATTAATATAAAATTAATAATTAATTTGTTTCACTTACTTTTTCAACAATTATTATATATCTGTCTTTCATTGAATCTATAAAATTATTAAAACCTTATTTGGAATTTTATCTTATTCTTTTATTATAAACTATTCTAATTTTGAAATATTTTTAGGTAATCTTATTTTTACATTTATTTTAATAATAGTTTAGATTTTCAACAAAATTTAAGTATGAACTATTAGAAGATTAATTTATTATTTTAAAAAAAATTTTATTAATAAAGGTTTAACAATTTTGTATATTTTAAAAAAAAAAATTTTTTTTTTTATATAAAATTCTTTTCATATAAAAATTTTAGTATGATTTTTAGATATTTTTCTAATTGATTTTATATTTTTATATTATTGAGTAATTATATTTCTAAATATTGAAAAGTTGTTTTATTAAAAAAATAAGATTTTTTCTAATTATGATCAAAATACTTATTTATTCAAATAATATAAGTTTTTTTATAAATAGTAGTAGTATAAGAGTTTTTAAAATTAAATTATTTTTATAATTTAAATTTACTAAATATCTTAAAATTGTTATATAAGATATTTTTTTAATATAAATTATAATTTAAATATTAATCAATTGTTTTTAATTATATACAGTAATATTTTTAAATTGATCTTTATTTGATTTTTTGAATTATTTTCTTTAGAATTCAATTTTTTAATATTATAATAAACAATTAATATATTTATATCAATTTTATAATATATTTTATTTATAAAGTAATTTTATTCTTTATATAAATATAATATAATTTGATATTGTATATATTTTCAAAAAATAATATTGTAAGGATAAGTTTATAAAAAAATATAACAAATAAGAAATTTTAATGATGTATATACTGTATATTTGTTAGGATATATTATTTATTGTATATGTTTAGAATTTCATATAAATTATTTTTGTTTTAAAAAAGTTATATACTATATATTTATATATATAAATAAAATTTCAAAAAATTTTGTTACACTATAAGTCAAGACTCATTTATGCTCGCGTAACTCCAATTTTTGGAATCTTGGTACAATATTATATTATTGTATTTATTTTTCTTAAAATCGTACCATCAGATTATTAATACGCAGTAAAAGAATAGGACAATAATTGCGCAGCAAAAAAAATTCGAGTTAACCATTTTAGGAAATACGCCGATTGGTGGCGGTATTTTCGAAATAAGTAATTTAAGGCACACACAATGATTTTCTCATTTCATCCCAATTCTTAAAACACGCAAAAATGACCGAAGCTACCGTTGCTTCTATTAAACCCTCGAACGCATTGCCTTTCATACCTTCATACTTACGAAACACACCGCTGGACATATATAATAAAACTGCTAAGGATCCAATATTTTTACCAACTCAGTGGAACGTTGATGATTCCTCTGATTATATTAAAGTCATGGACAATGGATTGGGACTTCGATGCATTGGTAAAATTTAGAATTGAATATTCTTAAAATATTTTAACTTCATAATTATAAAATAATATTAACAAATTTGATAATCAAAGGTCCGGGTAGAAATAACTCAGATGCGGCCGCCATAAGAACGGATTTTCCTATTCCTCGTAAAGCTGGTTTTTTTTATTATGAATTGGACATATTAAATAAGGGAGAGAAAGGGTAGGTTGATGCTATAACCTAGGAGTGTTTTTTTTTATGCAATCAGAGATAAAATATAATAAATAAACAAATAGAATCAATTTTATATGTTCAGATTCATTGGACTTGGAATTGGATTGGAACATGTAGATTTGAATAAAATGCCCGGTACGCAACAAAAATATTTGCGTTCTTATCTATCCGCATCCTAGGACCACCGATTATTATAAGGCTTTTTTTTTTTTGCAGGTTGGGAAAGGTATTCATTGGGATATCATGGTGATAATGGATTGGTATACATACAACACCCTAGAGGAAGAAATTATGGACCTCTATTTACGGAAGGAGATACGATTGGATGTGGTGTGAATTTTTATAATCGTACCGTATTTTACACAAAAAATGGTGTTAATTTAGGTTTGTAAAGGCCTTGTTGACTTTCATGTGAAAAACCATTTCAAATATTCGCATGTAACCCTAATATGGTTTAAATTCTTTGTATCAGGAACGGCATACATGGGAATTGATCATGGAGAATTCTATCCTATGGTTGGGTTAATTACTACAGATGAATGGGTGGAAGCCAATTTCGGGGAAAAGCCTTTCATGTATAACATATCACTTCATGCAGGGGTAATAACTCTATATTTGTTGCTTAAATGTCAACATATGGTCTTGTAAAAAAAAAAGGCACTTTTATGCACGAAAATCTCATCATTATATATTTTCATTATTTAGATGGTTTTTGACCATGCAGTAAAGAATGATCTTCACATAGAACAAGAATCACCTGGAGATTATGAACTTGATGACCTAATGCCTCCGAGGTTTTACTGTGACAACTGTGGAGCTTTTTATTGAAGACACGATTAGAATTAAATCTAAATTTAAAAAGATTCGCAACTCCAGGGGTGCGATAATTGATGAGTTATTGCTCTTAATGTGTAACCTATTTACGTTCATTTTTTGCATTTTTTTTTTAAATGTATTTCTTTTAAGCCATGTATAAGAATTGTATGTATATATTTACTAAAATGTTTTTCATAGTTATTCCGAGAAAGCCAAAAAGGGCTTGTGAAATAGTAATATTGTTTTCAATAAGAGTTAATGGCGTTGATATTATATATACCAAAAAATAAAGTTAAATTAAAATTGTATTTACTATATCCTAATATAATATTATGATATAGTGTAAATAGTATACATGTGGTGTAAATTATTTTGCTGTTGATTCAATTGTCAAAATAATTGTATCTGACTTAATTATTTTATATGTTTTAATAATAACTCAATTAATTGCATCAAATTGCGTCAAGGATCTATTAATTTTTACCACATGTATAGTAAATAGTAGTAACATTATTTTTATTAAAAACAACTGATTTTTAATAATTATTAGTTAATAAACGCGTGGAAATGTGATTTATTGATTAATTACAATAATCATCCTAGTTTTATTAGTGATCTTGTAAAATTTACTAATACGTGGCATATCGATATTTGCTTGATTTTTTATATAAAACCAAATATACAGCAAGGTATACTATGCAATATACTGTAATTAAGTTTAGGATAATACACTTGAGCAATAATAAAAACAAATAAATAATGCCGTTAGTATTTTTTATTACATTTATTAATAGCAAAAATCAAAATCAACAATGATATGGTTTAATATATTTATAATTTGATCGTATTTATTTATTAAAAAAAATCAATTGTTTTTTTATAGTTATAAAAAAAACAAAAAAAAACAATTTTTTAAATAATTTTTTGATATAATTATGATTTTAAATAATATTATAAAATTATTGAATTTTATTTGGATAATTATTTTCGAAGGCGGATAGGAATTTTGGGATGCTATAATTGTGATTCTAAAATTTGCAATATATACGTACTATTTAAAAAAAAAAAGGTGGCCAAAAAATCATATCAACATTTCTTAGCCTTCAAAGATAATTGCCATTTATATATTAGATTAATTACTAATATTATTTATTAATCAAAATATTTTTATTTCTATAAAAACAATAGCCACTAACTTATAATAATAATAATAATAATATTTTTTTTTTTTCCAAGTAGAATAATTATTTATTATTTTATTAGTTTAATGAACAATGGGTATCGCTAACAGGATTGTTCGAAATTTTTCCTTGAAAACTAAAATGATTATAAATGATTTAACAAAATGATTTTGTAGTAATTGTAATACGTGATGCACGTTATGCGTATGTATTTTGTATATCAAATAATAATAAATTTCTTATCGAGGATTATTAGGATTATTATTATTTTGATTATTTAGATAAAATGGATCTATTCAATCTCTAAATTCATCTCACTTTAATATTATTTATTTTTTTTTTGTTAGATAAATGTATACAAATCAACTTTGCATTATTTAGTTCAAGTTATTTTCCGATTTCTTGTCCTACGGTGTGGCGTTTGAGCGGTGAGCCAACAACGACCCGCCCTCGTTCGAGTATAATCCAGGCAATCTCGTGTGCAAAGCTAGAGTTTTACCAATGTTGGATGTCTCTTAGGGTGCCAAAGTCAATTTCGAATTTTTTTTTTTTTTTCTGGAGCATGACAAGGTACACTAGGACACAAATGAACATGTAGCTGGATATCATTACGTCTTTGGAAAAATAGTTCATCATGTGCACAAAACAATTAAGGGAAATTGGCTCGTCATGTCAATCAATATGTGAAAAACAATTAAGGGAAATTATCTCCGCACTATAAACACGTACGTGTATTTACACGTTTTTTTGTTCTCGTTCTTTCTCTGTACGCGTAAAGATTCTTTATTATGTATAAGATCATCTTCATAAATACATATAAATTCCATAATCATAAATATTACTTTTTGTTTTTATTATATGCGCATACAATTGCACTCGCTTGCAATCACCTTTCTTAAAAAAAAACAAAAAAAAACACTACGAGGTGATTGCAAGAGAGTGTATCTATATATATTATGCTTTATTATTATTGCATATGTTTTGCTTATAATTTTTATTAGTGTTTCCTTAAATCAAATCGGTCGTAGAATCTTTAATCCAGCCCAAGATTAAATTCTTCCTATGATCTTTTCCTATGACGAATAAGCCTTTTGTTTCGATATCGTATTCCCTCACGACAGCAATG